GTTCAAGATTGGCTTCTGATTGTACCAAATCCGAGTTTATTCAGGGAGTGTGGTCGTCCAAAATCTAATCGAATTCATTGCGATATGGATATTCGAGAAAGATTTAGACAAGACAGAAGATGTGGCCATTATAGAAACCCAGGGCACACTAGAAAAACATATCCACTTCTATTGTCATCAAGTAACAATTGATGAGGAAATGATGTATTTGTTTATCAAATAATAATTCTTGTATTTTTAATTTGCATTTACTTCAAGTTAATGTCATTCGATAATCGCTGATGAAGATTAAAAAAACGAACACAATCATTAAATTTTATCAAACTAATAACAATTTGGTATTTAAATACAACAAACTTACACTAAGAATTAAATGGTAAATGATAACCAAATTACAATAACTGATATTAAATGGTAATAAACAAAATTAACTGAAATATATTAAAAAAAAGTCCAACAAATTTAACAAAATAAAGTAAGTATTAAATGAGAAATAATAAAAAATTACAATTAAACAAAATAAAGTAAATACAAATATAATAAAAAAAATCTATCGATGCATGCGTCGCGAATGTGTTCCTCAGGGCGGTGGCTGTCGGTCTCGAGGAGGATTTCTTCGTATCACTGGTTCTGACTCTTAGTTGTCATCATCGTCGTTGTCGTCGTCGTCATCGCCATCGTCGTCGTCGTCGTCCTGAGTAGGTACATTAGATTGATGAGGAGCTGATGAAGATGAATCACCTCCATAAAATAAGGACCCTGGAGGTGTATGACTGACTATCCCACCTGCCTGCGAAAACTGGGAAAACCCAGACATCGCTGAGTGTGAAAACTGTACATGAGGTGTCTGTGATGTGGCCATGAGTGATGAGGCTGAACCCGCCAAATATCTAGCATATGAACCCCAAGTTGGATATGCAAACATAGACCCATAATAGCCTCCAGGAGGGGTCATCTGTGACGGCGGCGGCGGCGGGGTCATAAAACCAGGTGAAGGCGGCGGCGACGACATCTGCTAATGGAAAGGCGATGGCGGCATCATATATGGCTGCGGCATCATAAATGGCTGCGGTGGCTGCTGTGAAGGTCCTGTTGGTGCAGCTTAGGATGAACCGGAAGCACCTGCTCTCCGTTCACGAGTCGGGGGACGATGGTGCTGTGTCGGTGAATGTCTCTATCAACGTCGTGGAAAGATCTGCCATCGTGCATCCTCGGGAAGTAGAAACAGTTTCACGTTACTGTTGAACCACTCATAATAATCCTCAGCATACATCAAGAAGTTAGTAAAAATGGGCTCTCTACGTGGAAGGCACCGATGTCGATCCTCCCACAACACGACCCACTCATGATGCCTCACCAGACAATCTGTATATGTCTTGCCGCATCTATCTAAGCTATGCAACTCGTCCATATTACGATGTGCTTCCGGAATTGGTTGAAAACAACCAAACTGTCGGAGCACGCGATCAGTGGATTGCCACTTGACGGTCGCATAACAGATCAGAGGAACCATCGCCATCCAAACATCTGATGGACCCCTCAATTTAGGTGGGATCACCGCCCTCACATCATCAGTAGAATATGATACCCATTCAAACTAAAACAAATAAAATATAATTTTTATCAAAATAATAATCTAATTATATAACTAGAATCTAAAATCGATTTTTAAACATTAAAATTCATACCTGTGTGCCAGCCTTCTGATCGATTAGCACCCTAATTTTTTCTAAATCATCAGGTAGCTCCTGATGATTTTTCCTATCAGTAGACCACCTATTCAAGGAAAAAATTTATTATACGCTGTATAAAATTATTAATATACAAAATCAGTTTTATAATTACCTCAGAAGTAGTGGAAATACGAATGGGTTCTTCACAACGGGACATAAAAAGGGCAATAGATACCATGCCCAAGACTGCAGCAGTAGGAGACATCCGCCGATAGCATTACGCCTGTAGTCAGTGGCTCCACACATCTCCCTGTACAACAAAGCCAAAAATACCGAGCCCCAACTGAATGATCTGACGAGACGAAAGTCGCTAAGATGTCGCAACCACATGTAGTGAATTAGGTTGTACGATTTGTCCGACATCAACAACCCTCCTATCAACTGTAATATGCATTCCCGTGCATACATCTTAACCTCATCCTTAGAGGCGTCTACGCTTAACTCCCGAAAATTGGCATCTAACCAATTTAACGGTATCCTACCTCTGATAAAACTTTCCGGGACACGTCCTAGATTATCCCGACACAAAATAGTCCAAGAACCGGAAGCTATCTCTAATATCACATCTCCATCCACCAGAATCCCCAGGTGCATAGAAACATCCTCAAGCGTGATCGTGCACTCTCCGCACGGAAGATGGAATGTGTGGGTCTCCGACCTCCACCTACTAAGGCAGAAATAAGGGCTGGTTCTATCTTACAGTGACCCTGATATCTACCTATGTAACCAAATCCAACCTCTACTAAATACGGCAAGACACGCCTAGGTATCACTAACTTAATATTCCTAATAAAAGGATCTAATACACGGTCATTCTCCTAAAAATAAATAATTACAAAAATTAATTCTTAATCTAATAATCATGCATTAAATAAATCAACTAATTATTACTAATAATTTAAATTAAAACGTTAAAATGTTACTGTATCAGCAAAGTGTCGAGATATATGATTTCCATCCAAGCGAAGTAGATTGTCTTCCATTATATATCTGTAAAAGAATTATATTAGTAAAATATTAAATAAAGTAAAATACTTAAATAAATTAAATACATAATATTAAAAATATACCTTAAACAGAGAGAGTATTTGAGAGAAATTGAGAGAATTTGGTGTGATGAAAGTGATTGAGGATGGGGGTATTTATAGGGAGGATTAGGGTGTGGACGAGTGGGTAATTAAAGGTATAGCGCGCCCCCTGTACCGCGCTATACCCCACGTGTCAGATAACCATGTATAGCGCGACCCCTAATCCGCGCTATACCCCTATGTGGCGTATACCGCGGATCAAGGGCCGCACTATACCCACGTGTAACCCATGTCAGTGTATAGCGCGGGGCAGGGGACGCGCTATACCCCACATGACGCCAAATCAACATATAGCGCGGGGCAGGGGGCGCGCTTTACTACTACGGGTGTTAGATCGGGAAATATAATTTGACCGGTGTTAGATCGGTAAATATACCGATCATCGGTGATTTTTCGGGAATTTCACCATAAATATTTGATTGCTATTTAAATATTTTATTTTTAGTGTTTGATAAATATCTTTTTGAAAGAATTTATTATGCAAAATAAGCTGAAAACAAAAAAAAATTCAGCCGTTTGGAAGAGTTGATTGCAAAATAAGATATTAAATAATATATTTAACCATATTTTTTCATAATTACATTTTTACCATAAAGCCTAATATAATAAAATAGCCTTCGTCCTAATATATTTAAGTTGAATTTTTATTTTATTATTCTATTTTTTAGTTGTAGATTCTCAAATATATTTTAATTAAGAAAATATAGTAAAATATGAAAGTAAAAAAAATGTAGTGTTGATAAAAAAATATAGTGTTGATGTTTTATACAAAGTTAATAGTATGTATTAATCTCACAAGGTTAATATTTATAAATATTAAATTTAAAAAATATATTCAAATTTTTTAAAAATATTCACTAATTTTCTCAAAGAATTTTTAATTCATTATCAAAAGCTTTTTATCCGAATAATTTTACTCTAATAAAGACTAAAGTATTATAAAACATATATGTACTTAACAATTAAATATATCATACCCTTATTTGTCATTTTACCCATATCAGCTATCAACTAAATTTCACCAAACACTTCTATTTAAATAGTTATTCAAATCAGTTTCTCAAATCAACTAATCAAATCAATTAGCCAAATAAATACTAGATTCAACTATCAGATATCAACTATCAGCTATTATTTATTTATCAAACACCCCCTCTATCTTCTAGAATACTTCAACAACACGTTACTTGCAATACATACATAGATGCATACATACATGCTTACAAACAGGCATACATCACTCTAATGGAATCCAAATCCATGGGTTTGAAAGAGCTAACCCAGACATGGTGATAGTGGAAGACCTCTGCTTCATTTGTTGCCACTAAAACACTTGCTTTCAAGTTGCCATAAAAAGCTCCATATTCAAATCATCTAATGCGCATCCATTTTCACTAAAAAGAATGAACAACTACCTGGTTAATTAATGAACCACTTGCTTGTTGTGCCTCTTCTGTGGTCCTTCACAAACGCTGCAACAAGCTCTTTCTTTGTCTTTTCTCTCTCTGTCGATGCATATAAAACCTAGCACGCACCGGTTGAACATAGCTCAACAAAATACAGCTTCAATTGCTAATGAAGAATTCCAGCTTCATTTGTTGCATGTTCTTGGCTATAATTCCATCTCCATCCTCTGGTATTTTTCATTTTTTTTTCATCCTTTTTCATTTGTTACATCCACAACGGCTCCCACACCACTTAACGTCGTCTCATCTAACATTTTACTAATATATTTAGATTAAATAATATACTATAAAAATAAAATATATGATTCTGGTGTTTTTGAATGCAACAGCAGGAGAGGCGAGGGAAATGAAAAATGGTGGGAGATGCATTGAGTGATGGATCCAAAGGGATGTAATCTCATTTCCTGCAAGCAGCAATGCCTTCAGCCCAAGAATGGGAATGAAGTTTGCTTAGCAAGTGTGAATGAGGGTTATCAATGTGTTTGTTACATAAATTGCTAACTCCAGTTAACAAGTATAAGACTTCTATTTTCCTTTACTTCATCATGTTTCCATTCTAATAATTCAAATATGATATAATATTAAATATACACACAATCTAAATATATAAAAAATGTATGAAAATTTATATAGCACAAATATTAGTATATTGCACGCATGTCGACACGAGAATCAGTAATGAATATTTTACTTATTGCATTTTTACAACAGCATTCAAGTAGTAACTCACTTTACAATGTACTGTATTACATTTACAACGATCGATATCGTTGTGATACGTACGATAACACCGTACAATAGTTGAATGCGACCTTTTAAAGACGACTGCACGAGACAACTGAGCTAACCTCTGAATTCTGCGATCTATATGGCACCACCCCGGGCATAAATGTAAGATTTTGCAGAACATAAAAAGAGAGCCAATCCAATGGCACTAAGTGCAGCAAGCAGCCAATAAAAGTAATCAAGATGTGCCCTATTCAGATTATTCGCAAACCAGCTATCTCGGCTATCCCCACCTGTCATTTTCTCGATGGCTGAGATGAGAAAGCTACTCAAAAAGCTTCCAACACCTAAGATGCTAAGGTAGAGTGCAAGGCCGACACTTCTTAATTCATTTGGCACCTGATCGTAAAACAGTTCTTGAAGACCAACAACCGTGAACACTTCGGACAATCCAAAAAGTGCGTATTGAGGGACCAGCCACCACACACTCATTGGAACAATGACATTTGGCTTGTCTAGCAACCCGTATTCTTGAGCAGTTTTAAGCCTCCTCATCTCTACTAAAGCAGCAGTTGACATTGATATGACAGAGAGAAGCATTCCGGGTCCAATTCTTTGAAGCATTGTAATTCCTCCCGGTTTCCCAGTCAAGGACCTTGCCAAAGGAACAAAAATGCGGTCATATACTGGAATGAAGAGAAAGATCACAAGGCTAATAAATGACTGAAGCGAAGCAGCAGGTATTTGAAACCCTGTTGTAATTGATCTGTCCATGCTAGCCCCTTGCTTGGTAAAGAAAGTCGATGTTTGTGCATAAGCGACTGCATAAAATAAGCTTGTAGCCCATATTGGCACAAGCCTTATAACTGTCTTTGCTTCTTCAACCTCACTGATGCTACACACTTTTCCTTGTTCCTTTGAACCATCTGGTGGAACCAAGGCTTTATTGAGGAACCTACTCATTAGAAAACCCATTTTGCAATTTAGTTTATGTTTGTCATAGAACCGGAAATAGGAACATTACTTTCATTAACCAAAAAACTCACATAGCTCAGAATAATTGGCAGAAGAAAAGAAATGAGAAAGAGATCCAAATCATTAAAAAAAAAAGCATCAACCGAGGCCACTACAAACTGACAAAAGAAACTACAATTCCAGGACTTTTGTGAGCACGAGTTCATACATCTTTCATAAAACAGAGATTATGGTGGCACTAAATTTCAAAGGATCCTAACATGAACATATATCGACTTGCAGCCTTGTTTAGATAAGACAGAAACTTATATCAGATGCCATTAAAGCAGAAAAGTGAATTTTCAGTTTGTTTCCTAAACTGTGTATAAGCCTTAAGATACGTTTATCTTCAGTAAAACTCACTTGAATTGATTGAAACTTTCGGTTGGAATAGTTCCTTGGGCCTCTTCGTCTGCAGCAATTTCTGAAGATTCCATTTCCCAATTCCTGACAGCTAAAATGAACACTCGACCAATTCTCGCAAATGGGTTTTCTTCATTCCCTTTAATACAAAACCTGTAAGTTGTCGTTCCAAGCACAAAAACTACCAGTACAACAACCATTAAAATAGCGGGTATCCCAAATCCGAGAACCCAGCTAAGGTTGTCTTGGATGTAGGGTAAAATCCAAAAGGTTACTGATGCACCGGCACATAGACCAAAGTACCACCAATTAAAGAATGAACGCTGGGCTTTGCATTCCTGTGGATCTTGTCTATCAAACTGGTCTGCACCAAAAGCTTGAACACACGGCTTGAACCCACCTTGTCCTAATGCTACTACATACAGTGAGAAGAAGAGCAGTACCACGTGAAACCGAAGAGAAGAATTTAATGTAACGTTGTCTGAGTTTTGGTCACAAGAATTGCCGACAGATGTAAGAATGGCCGACAGAGTCAACAAGCCTAGACCCTGTAAATTACTAAGAAAGTTAAAAACAAAAAAAATCCCGAACACCACTGCATGTTCAAAGCTGTTGCTACCCCATGGCTACCAATGATAAAAGCAAAGTCAAGCAACAGGATGCTCAAGTAGAAGTAGATAGTGTTGTTGTTTCTTCAGTCTTGAATTTTAGTACCTAAAAGGTCTAAAATCTAAATTATCAAAAGTTAAGATTTTTGGATGATGAATTTGTGAATTAATGACTGAGATCTATCCCTCTACTCATTCTCCCGGGTTTCTCTCCCAAATTACTTACTGTAGTCTGTTTCGCCAAAGTTTCTTCAATTAATCTCCATTCCCCCCTCTGATTTTTATTCCATTTATTTTTTATTTTCCCCTTCTTGGTCAGAATCAGCAAAGGCTGCAACCAGAAGAAGCACAAGCAGACGGGAGATACTAACTGAATCTTGCTAACATTAAAACTAGAGGCAGGCTACTTTATCATATAACGCTGATTGAACCAACATCAAAGTTAACTGATTCACCAGCTCTCAAAGAGAACTAATGTGGAATTCTATACTCAGACCTGAGAACAGAAGCCCAAAATCATGCCATCTTTTATAATGATAAATTATGTTTCACCAAAATTCCAGCATTAGGAACTCTTTTAACAACTAATTAATTCAAGCTAGGAAGAAATCAAGTTGAACCCTTCCATAATGATAAATTAGTGCCTTTACTTCTAGTTTCAATTGGAACAAAGAAAAACAGGAAAGAATTGGATATTCATTCTTACCAAAATGTAAATTAAGGAAGAATGAATGATGGTGTGGTATCGGCCAAGAAATGAATCAGCGATGAATGCACCCAAGAGTGGCAGAAGCGATACCGCCCCAGACCAGGCGTTGAGTTGTGCAGCGGCGCTGGCAGTGGACTCGCCCACAGGCCCTGTCAAGTAAATTATGAGGTTTGAGGAGATTCCATAATAAGCAAACCTCTCGGCGATTTCCACGGCGATGATGAAAGAAGAGGACCGCCAACCGCCGGAGTTTGAGCGGCGGACTGGGCGGCCTTTATAATCAAGGCAGGTGTCAACGCTGTCATCCAATAGTGGAGTTCGAGCAGTGGAGGGATTGGAGTTCGCCATTGCTTTGGCAATACTATTATAGTTTACTACTTGAAATATTTTTTTTAAAAATGTTGATTATAAATGTTAAATACAATAATAGTATTGTTTTATAAAAAAAAAATGTAATCGTTTTTATATATTATAATATATTAATTAATATTATTTATATTAATAATAATAATATAATATTATTATTTTTAGGGTAAAGTAAACAAATAGTCCCCAAATTTTTAGAGCACCTGCATTTTGGTCACCCAACTTTTGAAACTTACAATACAATTATAGAACTTTTAGTTATTTTTGTTTTGGTCCCTGCCATTAATTCTTTTGGCTGACGTGAAAGCTTCTTCTTCTTCTTCTTCTTCTTATTCCATTGTTATTGGTGGATCAATAATGAACGACCCTAAAACTGGAAAATCCAATAATAAGATTGCTTCAAGAGGGAGTTCAATGGTGAATTACAAGCATTATAAAATTCCTACCAAGGGAAGATCCAGTTCGATTGTGAACGGTGCTGAAAAAATAACCACAAGATCTGTTCAAGAGGGAGTTCAATAGTAAACTACGTGCTCGATAAAAATACTAACAGAGAAAAACGCGACAACGGTGCAAAACTTGGTGGGTCGATAATATGGACGGATTCAGAACTGGGTCCTTCGCCTTCGAAAGTGACGACGGTGGTGGTTAGGAACCTGCAGCATAACAAAATGGAAGAGATGGGGAGTTCAGTGGCGGACGATTGGAGTTTAGACGAAAGCATCGAAGGGCTTTAGTCAAAACTGGGAAAATGAAGAACCCAGCTGCCGCCATTTTACGACGGAGGGGAGTTTTCGAGTTACACGTCGAGCGGGGTTAACGGGGTTAAGTAAAGAGGGAAAATAGAGAGAAAGAGAGAAAATTCAAGAAATTACAAGGTTTAACTATCTCTAAATAACCCCTACTCATTTCCTTCACTCTACATTATACAATTCTAAGCTTGATGGGTTATATTCAACCTGCGTTCTAGTTTTTGTTTTTGGTTGTTCTATCTTGGAACATCAATAAATACATTTTACCATATAAAGCGCCTAACCGAGTTGAGTTTTTATTACAGAGAAAATCCGTGAGTCTTGTCGTCGGATGGGTTTTTCTTTTCCTGCCCAGTTGCTAAATGCAATTATGTGGATAATGGCTTAGAATCTATCACTGTGAAGTCCATTAGCTTTGGTGATGATGGAGTCAGAACACCTGTTAGATCCATCAGTTTCAGAGGTTTCGATTCGAAACTAACGATATTGAAGTCGTTAGGCTCTGGAAATATGATATTGAAGGGGTCTGTTAGCTTTAAAGGGAGAGATTTCGAGAGAATTCTTTCGTTTAAGTCTCCTTCCTCAATGAATCCGAGGATTGGAAGAACAAAGCAATCGATATTCCGTCCCCAAAACCAGATATTTTAATTGAGAGTGTGTGAGAAGAAGGAGACGAAGAAGAAGCTGTCACGTTAGAAAGTTAACAGTTAGAAAATTAACAGGATTAAGTGACATATAAGCACAAACTAACGGAGGCAATAATAGGAATTAAAATAAAAATAAATTAAAAATTCGATGATTGTATTATAATTTTAAAAAAGTTGAGTGATTAAAATGTAAATATTTTAAAAGTTTGGGGACTATTTATATACTTTACCCTTATTTTTATAGTAAATTTAAAATTTAAAATAGTATGTTTTATTGATATGAGATAAATATAAGGCATTAATTATTTAAACAAAACTCTTAATCTTTTGACTTTGAAAGTTTATACCTCTGGCATTTATGGTGTTTGAATTTGAATCCTAAAAAATAACAACAATTTTTGTACAACGAGTACCACTTAGCCCTTGCCCCGTGAGATTTTGTCTTATTTAGATTACCAAGATTCGATTCATTAATCATCATTATAAAAATTTCAAATTTAATTGACGATATATATGAACTTAGTTAGATCATAGTAATTAGTATCATATATGAATAGAAAACATATATATTATACAATGTCACACCAGAAAAAGTATCATAAACAAGGATTGAAGCTTACGCCGTGAGCTAGGCATACAACATTAACAAGTGATGATTTTGCGTTTAGCTTCCGATGGTGAGTCCCTACTTTCCATCTCTACTTCTCCCCGTGATTTCTTTGGCACTTCGGCAGCAGAGCTCTCTTCCGCTTCTTTCTTCCTCTCCAACATAACCTACATCATAAAAGTTCCATTTTTATCACAATACTATATTCGTGACTACAGATGTATTGAATGGTCGGGATGCAAATGTTGTACCTTTGTGGCTTTAGGCTCGAAATACAGTGCATTGACCAAAACCAATACTAAGGAACACAAAAGATCAAACGCTTGAAACATCTGGGTGTGGCTGGAGAATAATGTTTCCCTCTGCCTCAACGAAGCCAACCCATAGCTTTAAAGAAAGCAGGATATATCTTTGCTTTGCACCACAACCCCAAATTGTTGTCTCGGCAGCGCTTCAGCCAACACGGTGCTCCAAATGACCGCAGCCCACACACTCATCCCATAAGTTGAGGCTAATCCCAACAAATTATCAATTACCATCACCGGATTCAATATAAACAACAAGCTCTTACAAACAAGCCTCAACCGCTTAGGCCTCAAGTATAGAATATTCGGAGCAAACGTTGAGCATAGCACCGCATACCATGTCTTCTCCAAACATACATTCCATAGCTTATCGCAGTACCATAGTGGAGGACTCCTCAGTAAAGTTGCTAGCAGAACAACGGGTCACAACGGGGACTGCATCACTGTAAACTCTGGGATTATCGAGATCATATCTGACATCATAAATTTGCCTTGTCAAGACAGACTCCTCCACCGTGATTTGGGCTTCTTTGATAACAGAGGGGACAACTGCAGCAAGAGCATAGCCGAACCCATCTTCTCTAAACTTCCTGCTGATTAGGGCTATCTTCTCCTTGTCAATTTTGACAAAGGGAAACAACGTGTCCACTTTGTTGGTCAAAGGGTCATCGGAATCCGCCCATATCCATTTCGAATCACACATAAAGAATTTCCCGATATTAGAGGACTTGATGTGAATATTTCCCGATATTTTCAAGGCTGTCCGCTGTGATGCTAAGTATGGCCGCTTGAATGATCTATCGGCAATTCAGTTACGTTACAAAGATGTGATCAAAGTGCTGCAGGAAATCAAAACTATTTTCAAAGTGAAAACCCTGATAAATCCAGCCATATCCAGGGATGATGGGCATTAGACACACTGACTGGTGTCGCTGACTGTTTCATAGAATTTTGTTGGGATTCATGTACTCATAACTGATGCATGGGCATTATGACAATGCCCCCTCAGCTTTTTGATTTGGGTAGTAATGACAACTCCTTTGAACAAAGTTAAAAGAAGCAACCCCTGCAAGAAGAATATGGTACTCCTCTTCCTCCAAGTGACCATAACTTGCAGTATAGTCATATGAGTCGTCAGTGCATATCCAAAACAGGAACGCATGAGAGAATATGGTGGCATCTACCCTCCATGCGAATATTGCCCAGATTCCGACTACCCTTCCACCAACAACGCGGACACGTTGTTTCGCCCTGTCAAAACTGACAAGGAGAAGATAGCCCTAATCAGCTTGCGCACCAATAAATTCTGTAGGAAGTTAAGAGATGATGAGTTCGGCTATGCTCTTGCTGCAGTTGTCCCCTCTGTTATCAAAGAAGCCCAAATCACGGTGGAGGAGCTTATCTTAACAAGGCAAATATATGGTGTCAAATATGATATCGATAATTCCAGAGTTTACGGTGATGCAGTCTCTGTTGTGGCCCGTTGTTCCGCTAGCAACTTTACTTAGGAGCCCTCCACTGTGGTGTTGCGCCGAGCTATGGAGTGCATATTTGGAGGACATATGGTATGCACTGCTATACTCAACGTTTGCTCCGAATATTATATACTTTTGGTGTAAGCGGTTGAGGCTTGTTTGTTAGAGCTTTTTGCTCCATGTCCATTAAGTGACCAGTGACAAGGAAGATAAACAGCAATGGGGTGTGCGGCGCAAATGGGAACTAGGGTGTGAAAAGAAAACATATTTAAAAAGAAGTAAATTTAAATTTATCCCTAAATTATTCTGAATTTACAGAAAATCCAATAATTAGTATTTTTAAATTTTAGGAGTTAAAATAAAAAATTAAGGTGGTGTTTGTTTTTGCAGAGGTAAAAGGTCTGTAGTCTGCGGACCGCATCTGCAGGCATCTACAGCAGAAGAGGTGGACTAAAACTCTGCAGTCTGCAAGAATAAGACTGTTTGTTTTTTAACGTCTGCAGACTGCTAAAATGAGCTGAAATATAAATAAACTGATTTTTTAAACTTAAAAGAGTTTGCAATACTGAGATTTAAATAATTTTAGTTTTACAATATTGAAATTTAAATAATCAATATAACTACAATAATAAATTATTTAAAATAAATCAATCTATATTTTAAAATAAATCAATTCATACTAATAAATTATTTAAAATAAATCAATTCATACTAATAAATTATTTAAAATAAATCAATCCATACAAATACAATAATAAATCAATCCATATTTTAAAATAAATCAATCCATACTAATAAATTATTTAAAATAAATCAATTCATACTAATAAATTATTTAAAATAAATCAATCTATATTTTAAAATAAATCAACACATACAACTACAATAATAAATTAATCCATATTTTAAAATAAATCAATTCATACTAATAAATTATTTAAAATAAATCAATCCATACAACTACAATAATAAATCAATCCATATTTTAAAATAAATCAATCCATACTAATAAATTATTTAAAATAAATCAATCCATACAACTACAATAATAAATCAATCCATATTTTAAAATAAATCAATCCATACTAATAAATTATTTAAAAAAATCAATCTATATTTTAAAATAAATCAATCCATACTAATAAATTATTTAAAATAAATCAATCCATATTTTAAAATAAATCAATCCATACTAATAAATTATTTAAA